AGGACGGAGAGGCGGGGAGGCCTCCAATACCACCTGCCCCATCCTCCTCCAGGGGCTGAAAAAACCCCAGGCCAAACTCTCTCCACTCCATTTCCCCACCCCCCAATCCCATTCTGAAAACAGCTGAAGGCCTGCAGGCAGCACAGACAGAAGTTATAAAAGATGCTCTGTTTTGAAACGTCTTCATCTGACCCCTCATGCAAAGAGGGTTCAGATTTTTACCTGATCAGCCATTTTTGAAGCTTTTTGTAGCCTTGTACTTGTTTGGTCACAGCTATAAACTGCTTTCTATGGCCAGATCAGGCAAAAATTGTCACTTTTGTTTGCAACCAAGGTTTGGAGTCTTCTCATGTAGGAAAGGATGTAGAACTTGTTTCTATCAGCAGTGCAACGTCAGTGAAGGGTGGGAGTTTAAATACCGTCTTTCCTTTATGTGGTGATAGTGCCTGCTAAGGGATGGTTCTGTCTATCCATCTGCATTATATGGATTTCATTTTAACTGGTACAGAGTAGTGTGCTTGATACCTTCCTGCAGTAGCTTGGCTGAATTTGTTCTTTTCATTTCTGTGTTGAAACACGTATTTCTTAACTTTAATGTTATCTTTTGTATCTAATCCATTCAGCTGTCTCAGACCCAAGCCAGTAGATTCACATGTGTAATTGTTAAGAGAATGCAAGTACTCTGTGCTCCTTTGACTTCAGGTGTTCTCTAAGCAGTAACTGATTCATTTCCTGTTGTGTATTTGTTTTTGTTTTTTTCTTTCCTTTCATTAGAACATAGTGGCCGTAGGAGCTGGGTTTTGTGACGGGCTTCACTGTGGTGATAATACCAAAGCTGCTGTTATTCGACTTGGCCTAATGGAGATGATTGCATTTGCAAAAATTTTTTGCAAGGGGCAGGTATCTACAGCTACTTTTCTGGAGAGTTGTGGAGTGGCTGACCTGATTACCACATGTTACGGAGGCCGTAACCGAAGAGTGGCTGAAGCATTTGTTAAATCAGGGAAGGTACAGTATCTCTTGTATTGTGTGATGTCCATTGTTGCAGAAACCTCCCCCATAACATCAATTCTGATGCTTCTGCCTTGTTAATGTAATAGTGTAGTTTAACTCCAGTCAGTATGACTAGTATACATCCTGTCCTGTCTCTGATTTTGTCCTTTCAAATTTTACCATAGAGAGAGTATGTTGTGGGTAGGAGAGAGTAGAGAAGGGAGTACATAGTGATAGAGCCAGGTTTGTGGTTGTTTAAGAAATTCAACTAAGCATGAAGAAAAGACTAAATAGGCTAGGACTTCTCAGCTTAGAGAACAGACAACAAGGTGGGATATGATAGAGGTCTATAAAGGCGCATATTATATTCTGTCATGTACTGTCTATGAGAAACTATGGTATTAGCAAGTGGGCAAGGTTTAAAATGAACAAAAAGAAGTTTTTTTCACATAGCAGGCAAGTAACTTGTGGAATTCATTGCTACAAGATGTAGAGGCTGACAATTTAATGAAGTCCAAAAGAGAATTGGGAAATTCACGCAGGGTAGATATATCAGTAAGTATTAAATATCATAGTTAGGGCTACTACTTACAAATTAGGACTTCCTAGGTCTCTGAATGCTGGAAGTTGTAAGGGAAGAGGGGCAAGGAACAGATCAATCTGGGTGAGTCATATATATGTATTCTTCCCCTTATCTCTCTGCCATTGTGAGATACTGGATACTTGGCTAGATGCCATTCTGGGTTGCTCCCAGGTTTCCCAAGCTAGAATGACAAAGTGAAGAGACATGGAAGGGTGGGGGAATGTTTTTGTACAAGTATGTAGGGAATAGTATTTATGAAATCCTGAAGCTAGTTTTGGAAGAAATATATTAAAGTTCTGCTATGACATTAGCTAGCTTCTGCCATGAGATCTTTACTGTATGTCTGTGACCTGTGTTAAGAGGCTATTAATTTAACATTTGTGCGCTACTACCTTCATCTGGGCAGAGCTGAAGAGCTGCCTTTCCATGCTGAAACAATGGGGTCATCCAGCGGAGGATAAAAGTCCCTTGCCATGTCTGAATGAACCTTGTTTTCAAAATGAAGAATTAAGTTTGTAAAAGCTTTGTTGTAAATAAGTTTCTCTTTCTTTTTTAAAAATAATGTTAAGTCCATTGAAGAATTGGAACAGGAGATGCTTAATGGTCAGAAACTCCAAGGACCACTGACTTCTGCAGAGGTGTTTCGCATCCTCAAGCAGAAAGGGTTGGTGAAAAAGTAAGTAAGAGAATCTGTTGCAAGTTCTTATCTCCTCTTTTTTAACTCCTTGCTTTTTGCTAAGATACCTTGCTTCAAGAAGGTAGTAGTCAAAAAGTAAAATATGACAATGAAAGTGGCTTAAATCCCAATAACAATGCATAAATTAAAAGACTGGATCAATAGGACTTCAGATTACAAGTACTAGAGCTAAGAGTGCAGTCTTCATATGGTGAATGCTCCTACAAAGCTATCCTGGTACACTATTGTGCCCAGTGCATTGTAAAGTAGAGCAGAGGAAGTGCGCTTTAGTTCAACTGAGATAGATGGAGGAGTTTCTATAAATGGGCTGCCATGGAGTCAAGGATTAATGAGAAACTATTGTCACAGAGGCAGAACATAGTATAGGGGAAGGGGGAAGGAATGGTAGTGGCTATGGGGACCTAGCCTATTGGAATTTGTGGTTTGGTGATGGCTGGTTTTGGCTTTACTCTGGGAGAAGATTAAAGCAATATTTGATTTTTTTTTTTTTTTCTGGTGGGGAAAGTAGCTAGTTTATTGATAAATTTGTAGTTGTTCTTTGACTGTTTGACCATAATAAATGTTCTAGTGGCTATAAACAGGTATTGTCTAACGCTCTGTTCATTGCTACTCAGAAAGGAACCAGAAGCGTTATGAATCAGAAATGAAGATTGCTATAACCACTAGCAAATTAAAAATAATGAGAACAAATTTGGTCTCTCTTTGAAAGTGAGTGGAGCAGGGCCTGTTCATATCAGGTGCTGAGCACCCTGCATTAGGTGCTGTGTCAACCCATAAGAGAAAAGCATTATCCACATTACCCAGCTTGATAAATATTTATAATCCCTGGAGTGCACCTGGCATGTATTGGTTAATCTCGTTAGATCAAGAATGCTGTTTCCACATTTGCTGCTTGGCTGCTTGGTGACTGTTTACATAGTTCAGCATAGAATCATAGAAAAATTGGCCTGAAAAGGACATCCAAAGGTCATGTAGCCCTGCTTAAGGCAGGATCATCCCTGTCTAAACCATCCTTGACCAAGCATTCTGTTCTTAAACTCTGGGAACAACTGTCACACACAGCCACCAGCCATAATGCCCCAAACACCAAAAACACCTTTAACTTGCCACTGGTAAAGCAGGGGGATGAGAGCACTGTCAGGGTCCTACTACTGCAAGGACAGAAAGTACTTGTTAAAATAAGCTCAAAAGAGCCTAGTGAACATTGCTTATTCCAGAGTAAAACAGCATGCAAAATGTACATATCATATACAAAGTAAGATTACTTTGTTTATTTTGGTTGTCAGAGAGAAAAATATTATGATTGTATCAGATTGGGGTTTTTTTTAGTCTTTTTAGAAGATAGAGGAAATTCTGCTAGTTAATCAGTGTGTACAGATAACCTGAAAGGCTTTTGACAAAACTGGCTATGGTGTGTGTTTGGAACAATGTTAAAGACTCGTTTTCAGGCTTTCTCAAGTGCACAGAGCATTATTTCTTGCTTGGAAGCAAACGGGAATAGATTGTGGTGCAAAAAGGAAATCTTTTTATCTGCATGAGATTTATAACCTTGAGGCAGTGGTTCTCAAACTGCCCCCTTGAGGAGCCGTCAAGGAACGTTGGGGGTGCAGCGCATGGGGGGCATGGGCAAGAAGTTTGCAAGGAGCTGGTGCCACTGCAGCCTTGGGAGGGGGGGAAGTGTGAGGGTGGGGAGCCCTGGGCAGGCTCTGCCAGTGGGCTGCTGCTGTACCTCTGGGAGCCTGGGACATCAGGCGCTCAGGCTAGAGCTGCAGTGGGGCCAAGGCAAGAGGTGCTGGTGCTGTGGCAGGGGGGGGCCCCATGCAAAGCCATGGCAGCTGCTAGAATAAGGGGCACCCTGTGCCTGGCTGCAGTGCTACTCTGGGGTGAGGGGAGCGGGTGGGGGCAGCGTGAACAAAACTAACGCAACGGGGGACTCAGCTCAAAAAGTTTGAAAACTGCTGTCTTAAGGTGAAGCTACCATATTTATCTGAATCCAAGACATCAAATTTGAGGCACTTCCCTCTATAATTAGATTGTTTATAATTTTCCATATATATAATCAAATTATTGGGGGTGCCATCTTTAAATTTGTTCCCCCCCAAATCCCCCAGCAACTGACAAATGTAGTAGGGAACCCAGTGATAAATGGTGAGGGTCCAGACCCCTGCCCCTTGCCTCCCCCTGTTCCTGCTGCTGGACCCCCCCCCCCCCGCCTGTCTACCACCTGCCCCACTTCTCACTGTCCCCAGTACCAACTCTGCCTATCCCCAGCCCCACTGCTTACCTTCTGCAGAGGCTCTGACTCTGGCTCTGGGGACTCAGTGGTCCTGGCAGTGGCAGCAGGTCAGGGGCAGAGGAGCTGGGGCCAGAGCTGAAGGTGTAGCAGCAGGGTGGGTCAAGTGTGTGGGGGGGCAGTGGGCAGGTGGCAGGAGGGCATCAGATTGTTTGGTCTCCCTCACTCTTCCCCCCCAAGCTGCACACTGCAGGTCTCTTGCTCCCCTTACCGCAAGTCCTCTCCCTGCTGCATGGGTCAGTCCAGCCCAGAGCAGCTCCAACTTAGGCGGTGGGCCTGGAACCAGAGCTAAGCCACCACCCATCCTGGGCCAGTACCTAAAATGAAGCTTTATTTTCCCCATGTTGATTGGTGCAAGGGGAGAAAAACCTTGTTTTGGCTGAGAGTAAATAAAGTAATAAATGAGGGAATATTTGTTGTCCTGTCTGATGGATCTTCTCTTTTAAGATGCATATGAAACTAATAATACAAGCAAATACTTACTTAAGGCCTTGAGTAACTCAGAAGTGTTGCAGAAGTAGAAATGTCAGCATTTTAGAAAGCAAAATAAAAACTGAGCTGCTTAATAAACCTTATTTACAGGTTATCTGGCTCATTTTTTGCTAGTTAAATTCATTGTTTATCTCCAATGAAAGGAAGTGCTTGTTAATAAAGGTATGTAAATCCAGCCAGCTGTATATGGAAACTGCTTTCATCATCCAGAAAGGTCAAAGTTTAAATGTTATATTTGATATTGTGCTACCCGTCTGATCCTCAGTTCATTGTAAAATAGAACCTGCCCTCTCCTCTGTGCCTCTAACTTCACATTTCCTGTTGTTTAATGAATCAAGCTGTCTTGATTTTCATTTATGCATGTCAATCTGCAGATGCGTGATTCCTATAGCCATATGTAGTCTATACTTAGTAAAACTGGATAATGTGTTGTTTTCATCTCTTCTTCCCTTCTCCCATGTCTTCCTTTTTTAGATGTGGCAAAGTCATAAAAATGAACTGTTTGGTCTTTTTGACTGGCAGTCCTTCTTAACAATTTTTTTCTCAACAGTTTTTAAAGTATAATTTCAATGCACCATCTGCTTGCCTATCTTTTAACACTTGCTCTAGAAATAAAGACACATTAGTCCTATCTCTGCAACATACACATTATGGTAATTAGGCTGATTGAAGAGAAAAAGTCATTAAAACGTTGCTTTCAATCCTCATTGATTATAATGTTCTCTTAGATGTGTTAAAATAACATTGGGTTTGGGGGAGTTTTTTTCTGCTTTTCCATTTGGCAAGTACAGAGCTGAATGTAGCATTTTCTTTTCTTTTTTTCAATCAAAATGAAATGAACTGTGCTATAGTTTACTACTTTTGTACACCAGCATCACTGCTAACAGCAGTACAGTTCCATAGCATCTTCTCCTTGGTGGCCTTATTTTTGAAAGATCCATAGTGCCCTTCACTATTACACAGAAGTTGGAACATTCAGTAGACTGTAAAAGATGTAAAGTAATTTGCACCTGTCTTCCAGTTGTCATTTCATTATCTTCTACCAGTTCCTAGTTTGTTAATATAGGATCATAGGAAAGTAAGGCTGGAAGGGACCTCACGTGGTCATGTAGTTCAGCCCACTGCTCAAGGCACGAGCATCCCTGACTAAACTTCCCCACCCAAATAACTGTCTATAATATGTTGGCCCTCTTCTGAAATGGGAGTTTAAAAACTCATGCAAATCTTTGCTTGATTGTACTATAAATATTAAACAATGGTATAGCAAGAAAATCCAAGTATGATCTTGAGTATCCCGTTAACTCTAGGCTCTTACATGTGAAAACCGTAGCCTATTGATTTTAATCCAGCAGGGGCTCTTTTGATATCTGTTTGGTTTTTTTTCCACTAAGTCATTGATCAGCAGTGATGAGTAAACTTTTGTAGCTGAGGGAAGAGTTGAGTATTTTTTTTTCTTTCATAAAATACATTTTCTGTTCATGAAATAAGTAAATGGCCAAGTTTCATCAGACAGTGCAGGCTCCATTTTGGTGCATAAGTGTTTATCGCTTAAATGAATGTGTGTGCTGTAAATGTTGTATTCTCTTTATGCTGTGCTTCCCATCACAACTGAAGGTGCTTTGTGGATTCTAAAAGAAATCTTAGACCCTATCTCTCTTCCCCACCTAAGTAGATATAGAATAGTGTTGTGGTATTTTTTTACTTTCTTTTTTTCTTT